CGCTCTTGTCATCAATAGGAAATCGTGATAGCGATCCACCTCGAACGTCGCGTGCATCAAAACACTGAAAATAGCGAAAGCTCGGGAAGTTTGACGGATTACTAGTAAATTTATAATAGTTGCTTTTGCCTTTCTTTTCCGATATGATAAATAGTTATCAAAAACTCGAAATCTTCCTCTTTTAAATATACATTTGCGGTGAGAAATGTGTGACGTAAAAAAATGCAACAAATAATTTCTATATAAGATTAATGATAAAAGATTATAATTAAATATTAAATTTAAAAACTCACATCGCAATTATTCGATATCAGAAAAAACTTTGATAACATTTCTTTTACTAACCTGATGTTGTAGCCTCTGTCGACGTTGACGAGGACGTGTCGGGCGTCTTTGCGGTGACTTCGTCAGAGTTCGAACTCCATGTCACCAAGCCCGGGGAATAGGTAGTCAACGGGATTTCCTCGAGGGTGTGATTAACATTCTGACCCTTGGTGGGAGGCACGTAGGTCGAGGTGCTTTCGTTCCTAACGGTAAACGTGGATATGGAACTCGAAATGCTCGTACGCTCTTGTCATCAATAGGAAATCGTGATAGCGATCCACCTCGAACGCCGCGTGCATCAAAACACTGAAAATAGCGAAAGCTCGGGAAGTTTGACGGATTACTAGTAAATTTATAATAGTTGCTTTTGCCTTTCTTTTCCGATATGATAAATAGTTATCAAAAACTCGAAATCTTCCTCTTTTAAATATACATTTGCGGTGAGAAATGTGTGACGTAAAAAAATGCAACAAATAATTTCTATATAAGATTAATGAAAAAAGATTATAATTAAATATTAAATTTAAAAACTCACATCGCAATTATTCGATATCAGAAAAAAATTTGATAACATTTCTTTTACTAACCTGATGTTGTAGCCTCTGTCGACGTTGACGAGGACGTGTCGGGCGTCTTTGCGGTGACTTCGTCAGAGTTCGAACTCCATGTCACCAAGCCCGGGGAATAGGTAGTCAACGGGATTTCCTCGAGGGTGTGATTAACATTCTGACCCTTGGTGGGAGGCACGTAGGTCGAGGTGCTTTCGTTCCTAACGGTAAACGTGGATATGGAACTCGAAATGCTCGTGGTAACTTCTATGATGCTGGATGATGTGTTTACCGGAATCTTTGTCAAAGGTTTAGTTACTGGTTTTGTTGTGGTGGGTTTGGGTCTTGTAGCACCGACCGTCAATCCGACGGTCGACGACAACAACGGCTTCGTTCTCTCTGTAGTCGTCACGGTACTGTTTTCGTGTTCGGGTTTAGTGGTCTTGGTTGTCGTGCTGGCAATCCTAGTAGGTTTCGGCCTTGTTGTAGTAGACAGCGACGGTCTAAACGTCGTCGTTTTGCCATCGGTCGTTGTTTTAGTTATCGTCGTAGGTCTGACAGTGGTTGATCTGATTGTCGACGTTTTCGTTGACGTTGTCGTCTTCGGCGTCGTCCTCAGAGTCGTTGTTCTCGCGGTAGTCACTGTCTGATCCGGGCTCTTCGTCGTAGCGGAAATCTTTTGACTACTCGCGCTTGTAGCTGTTGATATTGCGATAGTCGACGGTCTGGTTCCAGTGGAGGCTAAAGTACTCTCCGTGACATTCGTGCTGGATCCGCCATTGCTGAACGAGCCGGAGGTCGAGAGCGGCCTGCTCGTCACTGGTAGAGTAGTACCAAGGCTAGAGTTTGCGGGAGGCTTCGAAGGACTCGAAGGATTCGAAGGACTCGAAGGACTCGAAGGACTCGGTATTTTTGTCGGAATAGTAGGTTTTTTTGTGATTGTCACCGGGCGTTTCGTTATCACGGTGTTAATGGTGGTGGCAGGTCTCTTGGTGCTGGTGACAGTACTAATAGGCTTTTTGATAGTTGTCTGACTCAACGGTTTGGGCGACGTCGTGTTCCTCGGCGGGAATCTGGTCGAGGGTGCCACTTGCTGCGTAGTCGTGAGAATGTTCTTCGTCGTAGTTGATTGAAGGATCGGCCTGCGAGTGGTCGAAGCTAGCGGCTTCTGAGAAGTTTGCACTGTCGGTCTCTGCACGGTACGCTCTTGTCATCAATAGGAAATCGTGATAGCGATCCACCTCGAACGCCGCGTGCATCAAAACACTGAAAATAGCGAAAGCTCGGGAAGTTTGACGGATTACTAGTAAATTTATAATAGTTGCTTTTGCCTTTCTTTTCCGATATGATAAATAGTTATCAAAAACTCGAAATCTTCCTCTTTTAAATATACATTTGCGGTGAGAAATGTGTGACGTAAAAAAATGCAACAAATAATTTCTATATAAGATTAATGAAAAAAGATTATAATTAAATATTAAATTTAAAAACTCACATCGCAATTATTCGATATCAGAAAAAACTTTGATAACATTTCTTTTACTAACCTGATGTTGTAGCCTCTGTCGACGTTGACGAGGACGTGTCGGGCGTCTTTGCGGTGACTTCGTCAGAGTTCGAACTCCATGTCACCAAGCCCGGGGAATAGGTAGTCAACGGGATTTCCTCGAGGGTGTGATTAACATTCTGACCCTTGGTGGGAGGCACGTAGGTCGAGGTGCTTTCGTTCCTAACGGTAAACGTGGATATGGAACTCGAAATGCTCGTGGTAACTTCTATGATGCTGGATGATGTGTTTACCGGAATCTTTGTCAAAGGTTTAGTTACTGGTTTTGTTGTGGTGGGTTTGGGTCTTGTAGCACCGACCGTCAATCCGACGGTCGACGACAACAACGGCTTCGTTCTCTCTGTAGTCGTCACGGTACTGTTTTCGTGTTCGGGTTTAGTGGTCTTGGTTGTCGTGCTGGCAATCCTAGTAGGTTTCGGCCTTGTTGTAGTAGACAGCGACGGTCTAAACGTCGTCGTTTTGCCATCGGTCGTTGTTTTAGTTATTGTCGTAGGTCTGACAGTGGTTGATCTGATTGTCGACGTTTTCGTTGACGTTGTCGTCTTCGGCGTCGTCCTCAGAGTCGTTGTTCTCGCGGTAGTCACTGTCTGATCCGGGCTCTTCGTCGTAGCGGAAATCTTTTGACTACTCGCGCTTGTAGCTGTTGATATTGCGATAGTCGACGGTCTGGTTCCAGTGGAGGCTAAAGTACTCTCCGTGACATTCGTGGACGATCCGATATTGCTGAACGAGCCGGAGGTCGAGAGCGGCCTGCTCGTCACTGGTAGAGTAGTACCAAGGCTAGAGTTTGCGGGAGGCTTCGAAGGACTCGAAGGATTCGAAGGACTCGAAGGACTCGAAGGACTCGGTATTTTTGTCGGAATAGTAGGTTTTTTTGTGATTGTCACCGGGCGTTTCGTTATCACGGTGTTAATGGTGGTGGCAGGTCTCTTGGTGCTGGTGACAGTACTAATAGGCTTTTTGATAGTTGTCTGACTCAACGGTTTGGGCGACGTCGTGTTCCTCGGCGGGAATCTGGTCGAGGGTGCCACTTGCTGCGTAGTCGTGAGAATGTTCTTCGTCGTAGTTGATTGAAGGATCGGCCTGCGAGTGGTCGAAGCTAGCGGCTTCTGAGAAGTTTGCACTGTCGGTCTCTGCACGGTTATCGTAGAGAGAGCGGGTTTCTTCGTGGTCGCTTTCGACACCGTCGTAGTGATCGCCGGTTTTGTCACGTCTTCGCTGCTAGGTCGCAAAGTGGAAGCCGAAGTGTGCGGTTTCGTAGGCTGCCTCGTCGTACTTGGGGATGTACTTGCCGGTCTAGTCACGGTACTGGCGGTGCTCTTCAACAACGCAGCTTCCGTGCTGGACCCAGCGGCGCTTTGCACAGTTTGGAAGGTAGTGAGACGAGTAGTCTGCGTAGTCATTTCGACCGTCGTGATTGTTGGCTTCTTCGTCGCCAACTTTGTCGTGTTTCTCGATGTACTCGCTAAAGCTTGCGTGCTTTGCGTGCTTTGCGTGCTCGAGATTACAGGCGTTGTCTATAAAATTCGATACGTTAAAATTATTGATAATTAATCTGGATAGTAGGTGATTCTCGATTAATATTATCTGACCTTTAAAAAGCAACACTGCCACGAGCTGATTAATAAAGTTAACTTATATTTTTGATTATAATTATAAACTAATTTTTTACATAATTTTTTAGTATATATAAAAGAAATTAAAATTTAACGTGTCAAGTGATTCAAAAATCTTTAAAATCTTTACATGTTAAATTTATATACATATATTTTGCTACATGTATGCTGATGATCAAGCACTTTAATGAGCAACTTTCTTTCTTGAATATATGAATCGATTGTGAGATTACGCGAGCTGCTGTGCTTATCTCGATGATCTCACGCAGAGAAAGTTATTATAATATCTGAATGAGAGATGAGAAAATATGATGTCTCACATTTTGTGTATCATAATTCACTCTCGCTGTCATATATTCACTTGTTTAAAAATTAATAAAATTAAAATCTTTTTATATAATTAAATTAAATTGCAACGATTTCACAGTGCACATTCTACAAAATATATAAAACGATTCAAAATAAGCGGCATCAAGAAGAACCCGCAAATTACTTTTTTATCAGTCTATTTTATCGATATTAACTTCGCCGCGAATGACTTGACAGAGCAATTATTCTTGAAAGACGTTACTTCGATTCCATCGATTTGCTTCTAACAATTTCAAGCTGTCACGCTACTCATCTCGCTGACACGTGGTGAGGCCGGCTAGTTGCTTCATTAGCAATCTGCTACGTCTACTTGCCGTGGTTTGAGGAGCCTCTGCTGGTTTCCTCTCATCTGTCGGCTTCGGTCTCGCAAAGTACTCCGGTATGCTGCTGCTCGGGATGGGCTTGCGGGTCGTGATGAATGGCCTTGGCGGCAGCGGCGGCGGCGGCCCATCGTCGATGCTGTTGTCCTGCGGGAAGATGTCCGGCTCGTCGTCAATCTTGCAGCAGCTACCGAAGTAGAAACGATCGATGCAAGTGCCCAGATGCGTGCCATTAGCCTTCGCGCAGGTAAACGCAAACATGCATACGCCGGTCTCACCGCTCCTGCGTGACACGCAGGGCAAGTGCCTGATGTTTCTGCCCGTGCCTGCAAGATAAAAGGAAAAAAAAACGACCGTCATTACGTCCCTCGCGAGTTTCTACGACAAACTGATTTCTTTGATCTTAAATCCCTATTCTTAAATATTTCTTGATGCAATACGTTAGAGAAAACTATATTTATATTAAAATTTGTTTTTTTATCTTAGAGACTCTTCAGTTTCTTATAATTCAGTTTCTTTTAATATTTTTATAATTCTTGGTTTATATCCTCGCGAAATATATAATACTATAATATAATATAACATAATATTATAATATTATAATATTCTATTTTTTATATACCACTTTTCCCTCTAGTCTTTATAAAAATAATTCACCGGAACTTTGTCGTGATGTCTCATAACGATATACGCGATTGTCTCAGGCAATAGACAAAGAATTCTTCCGTTCGGGAAGATTATCTCGTGCACGTTAATACGAAGGTAAAGACCCCTTTATCACGGGGGGAAGGATTGAAATGTTGTACGCGCATGGAAATGCCTCGAGGAGAAATTCGCACCGCGCCGTCAATAGCGATTAGATAAATGCTTCCGTGTTCTCTGATCTCCTCCGAAGAGTGTTATATCAACCCTCACCCGTTGTCTATAACTGTTCATTTGACGATACACATTCCCGGCCGTAACACTTTGCTCCCGTATCGTCAACGTATCTGCTTATAATTCTCTCTTAATGGTCTTGCTGTGCGTTCAACCGCGATCTCGGAGCCGCGGATGATGGAAGACGCGGGGTGGCATAAACGGCGCATAATTGCGAAACAGAATCAAAAAGGGAAGCAGCGCAAATATGACGGATAGCTCCGACTCAACGAAATTGCTATAAGTGCAAATATCAGCTGAATACGTGAGCTGATGATTATAATGTCCTATTAATATACCGCCTACACACACGAAAGCTGTTACTAGGTTTATCGATATTATTTTATGCAATTTTTTTACAAATTTATAATAAGATTATTTATAGGATTATTTGAAGTATTTTTGCCAGAGAATAGAAAATCATATATCCATTATTAATCGGGACAACAGGAATTTTCTCTGGGTCTTTAGTGCATTACGTCGACGGAGCGGAAAGTGGATAAACAAACAGATGTCACGTGTAAACTTAAAAAGTCGGAAATATCAGAGGCGTATAACGGAATGACAAGAGTCTGCTTTGACAATGATTCATACGGTCGAGCAATACAGTTAGCCGCGAAAGAGCAGCGCGCATCGGAGGAAGGTAAAGAAGTCTCCGCAAAATAAAACCTGTACTTTCAAAAAATACAAAGATTTCAGAGAATATTAATAAGAAGTTTATAATATCATTATATTGAAGCTTCACACAGCTGTTAGACATCGTAGCAATAATTTTATTTACAAGATTGATTAATGTGTCAAAAAATGAGAAAAAACATATGTTTGTTAACAACGATTCGAACAAAAGTTGAGAGAGACTCGTCTCCAGTTATCATGAAAAATTTCATAAGATCGTAAATTGTGTTGCAAATAATCTCCTGGATTGGATTTTTTTTTCCCAGAATCGCGGTTTTATCAAGCAGTCGATTGTAAACTAAACACTAACACTAATACGCCATACGGCGTATGGCGTATTATATCGAAGAACGAATTGATGTCAGGCGAGGCGAAGCATCTCGGTACCGTTAAGTTTCAATGTATGAGCTAGTTGCCCGACCCAAAAGTGGGTCACAGTCATAGCCTAATGTAACAGCCCGTTTCCTCTAAGACACCATCACAATCTCCTCCTCCCGCTTCCTCTCCGTCTTTTTCTTTCTCTCTCTCTCTTTCTCTCTTCCTTCGCAGGTCTTTGGTCCAACGAAATCACCGTACACATTCCAGGGTGTCCCGGCTCGGCATGATTAAACGGACATACCTGACCTGACGTGCCTGGATGGACCAGACGCGCTCTTGGTATTCGCTTGGAAAATCCGTGAATATTCGTAGTATACCCGCGATACACCGTGTATACCGCGCCAAAGAAAGTGACAGATCGTTTAGCGCGATGAACACGGGACTTTACGTTGTTGAATAACGCTACGTAATATTTACATCGTTTTTAGATGACGCTAGAGTAGAGAAAATAGAATTGTGATATTTGAACGAGAAATTCGAGGTGTTATCCATAAAATTACAGGTCTAAAGATGACTTTGCTGATTAATTCGTCTTGTTTGATTTGATGAACCGATCGTCAAAGACAACAGTTATAACCAGCGCTTCAGAAATCGTCAGGCCGTTAAAACGTCGTCGTTTTTCCGCGAATATTTACTTTCTTTCGCGGACACGTCGGAACGCTTCTCGCGGCGAGTGAAAATCAAGCGTAAAATTGTTTGCGGTTCCAGCATTTGAATCACCAGGTCAGTCGGTCAGACCGCTCGCCCAAAAAGTCCTGCGCGTCGGTCATCCTTCCGCTTAGAGAATTCGTGCTGGCGGAAGTGACACGTTAGTTAGTCACGAAAGAAAGTTGACAATGCCTTCATGCAGCTGGCGGAATTTCAACCGGCGTGCTCACATCGGGTATGCGTGTGCCCGCGCGCACGCCCACGCAATCGTGCGCGAGGAATTTCACTCGCGCCGCGGATCACATCGTAGGAAAGTGCTTTATCTGATCGCGACGAACGATGTGCGAAAACGGAAGTTTCACCGGTCCTTGAGAAAAGATCTATCCATCAAGACCGATTTATATCAATATTATTGTATTGTCAGACAACAAAGTTGCGAGTTGTCGCAACTTCGTATAAATGCTATCTTAAAATTTCATAGGATTATATATAGGAACTATTATCTTTTTTTTTTTTTTTTTAATTGGATAAGATAGATAGAATAAAATAATTAGATATATAGGAAAATATATAGGACAATACATAACGTTAATTAGAGGAGTAATGATAAAATATAATGAGATCATCATTTCTTTCCAATATTTCCAGCAGGA